CCCCGCCCCGCGGGAGCGATCGCGGCGGAGGCTCAGGTGCAGGCGGTGTCGGGTGGTGAGTGTGGCAGTGTGGCGGCGCCGGCCGGGGCGGAGGCGCTGCCCTCGGGGCTCTGCCCAGCGCCTGCGGGGGAGGCGGCTCCCAGCCGCAGCCCGGGGGCCGCGCTCGGTGTCCCGCGGAGCGGCCGGGCCGGGCCCGCGATCCCCGGCTGTGGCCGAGGGGCCTGCGGGGGAGGGCGGGCGGCGGTGGTGCCTCCCCGGCGGGTTCCGGCCTCCCCAGCCCCGTGCTGCGGGTCGCAAACACGTGTGGGTGGGATCGTAAGTGCAGCACAGAGTGGCTACATGGTAGAGCTGCTCTGCGAGGGGAAAAAAAAAAAAAAAAAGTAAGGAAAAACTCCGCAACCTCATGCCGCTCCTTAATCCGTATGGTAAAATTTATTTCTCTGCACACAGTTTGCTCCATTCCGTGTAGATTATGAAAGAAGAAATGACAAAATATTGACTACTATGATAACTCTTTCCCATACAGAAGATTTTAAGTTCAGTGCCTTTGTCCAACTTCCCTGAGTACAGTGATTTTAGCAACTGTTCCCTTGGCTCTCATAGCCATCTATTGCATATAGATGGTAGGGAAAAAAGTCCTGGAGAGCCCTCCACTGGTAAGATGGCACCTTTTCTTTCTCCAAGCCTTTCATCCTCCAGATAATAAGAAGAGACAGTCCTTCGAAGACTTGACAGCATTTAGCTGAGGTATAACATTTTCCAGATTTTCGTACCCAAAAAATATTAAGCCCAGCAGAAATATAACAGGGATTATATTTACATTATGACTTTACTGTGGTGGCAGACAGGCTTTCAGTGTTTGTAGTAATGTTTGTCACTGAGGCTCCACAGTAAAATGAAACTATTTGTTACCTGAAAGAATGCAGCAGTTTAAGGGGTCTGACCAAGTGTCGTTCAAGCTCTGTGACATGGTTTTCTTTAAAGGTGGAATAACTGAAGCTTAAAAATGAAGGAACAGTAACATTTGGCCTTTTGTTTCAAAGGAGAAAAAATAAATAAATTACAAAATTGTAACTCTTTAAAAATACCCCAGGGGTTCAGCAGCATCCCATTGTCAAGGTACTACTGTATGACCAGGAGGTGGGGCAGCTGTGAAGGGAGCAGAAAAGCCTACAACTCAGAGATTGTATCTATGCTGGAACAGTTAAAAAGCACAGGATGAACTAAATGATTGTTAGTACACAGATGTATTCATCTATTTCCCATGATCGAGTTAAATTGTATCTTCCAGTCTAGTTTAGAATTGTATCTTCTAGAATTGTATCTAGTCTAGAATTGTATCTTCTAGTCTAGTTTAAGTACCAAACCTGAGTTTCAACCCAATTAGAAACCAGAATGTTGCTACCAGTTCCACTAAAAAACATTTACTGTGCTCATATTTCTGGTAGCCTTGTTTGCTTCTCACTCCCCTAAAAATAGAAAGCTGTAGGAGTAGTCATTTGTTATCCCTTTTCCTCTAACATGTTAATTTTCCTGTTTTCTCTATGGATATGCAAGCCTGAATTCCAGGGGACTGACTACATGAATGCTTCAGAGCACTGCAAATTAGAATGGGATGAAAAGAATTCCTAATTTAATTTCTGGGTTTAGCAGACATCACTCTTGGCCAAAATGCTGATGTCTGACTCCAAGATTGAAAACGAAACATTAATAAGACTAAGCAAGAAATTATTACCTTCTAATTCCCCCACAAAGATCAGTGCATGTTCGTGCTTGAAGAACCTTACAGATTTTGAAGAGAGTTGAAATGGGGTTTGCAGTACTTCTCTAGCTACCTGGCATTGTCTAACTTCCCTGATCTGGAAGAAACTTTGTATCCCAATGATAAAAGCTCAGTTTAGGACAATATAAACCATCTCATTGATGTGCCTTACACATACTTGGCTCTGCTAAAACACATACGGGGTAATAAATGAGAGTGCATTCATCATAAAAATAACAGAAAATAATTCTCTTGAGCCTGTGGTATGTCTTAACATGTCATATAAATTATACTGGGAATGTGTGTGTTTGGAAAACAGAGTAGGCCTTGGTAGTTTTTTGTTTTGTTTTTGTTTGTTTGTTTGTTTTTAGATCAGTGTGCGGGAGAGTTTCTGGTTATATTAAGGAGGCATTTCCCTTTACATCCTCGAAGTCGAAGTGAAGGTACTCAGAGTTACAGATGAGAAAAGAGGCATTTTTAGAAATGAAAGAAGTCATAAAAGTACTTTCTAGGAGGCTTTGTCATTTAATGTCCAGTAGTCTTGTCTCTTGAGTCTGAACAAATGGTGTTCAGTTTTCACTGGAAAAGTGTCACAAAGAGAAACAGTGGGAGAAATGTTACATGCCAGTGCCTGTTCTTACTGCAGCTGTTCATCAAAGTAATTTCCATTATGTTCCTCATAAAGTTTTCACTGTTACTACATTTCTGTGGTATTAAAGGTGGATATAATTTTTTCTTCAGGTATTTTAGGCACTTGCAGAGATTGACCACACCACAATTACACAGGTGTGTTGCTGCTCATGTAGTGTGGTGGGTTTGTGTGATTGCCTTGTGTCAAATAATGGTTCTGTTTTTCAGTTCATCATGGCACTAACGCTGGAAATATTTACAACTGTCAGTAGTTTTTCTTACTTGCAAGTTAGTTCTGCATGTAAGGCTTGCACATTTTTGGTTTAAGTTTTCTATTTCTCAATACAAAATGAAACAGGCAAAGATATGCATGTTTGTCTCTCTGTACTAACTACTGCAAGTGTTCACAGTGGGCTGCAAGAGTTATGCTGTCTTTAGTCTGACCCTGGGGAATAGCACCAATGCCATGGTCATGTTTTAAGATAGCATCAGTATGTTACAGAAATAGTTTTTGTAACCTTAAACAAAGAGAGCAATAGACACCTTCATAATCTTTTTGATTTTGCATAGTTATTCTCAAAGATAACCTTGAATATGCTAAGTGGTATTATTAGAAATCACATAAAATGGATTTTCTGATCTTTTCTAAGCACATGTATTTCTTCTGTGTCTTTCAGAGTATGTGCTGAGTAGTGTCAAAGATTTTGCTGATGTTTACTTTTTTTAGTCCTCAGACTAGCAGAGTTTCTTCTTGTAAATGAACATCAGTTGTTTACTTGCAGATTGCTAAATGCAATGGGATGATGGGGCTATTTTGAAGGTCTAATTGAGTTAACCAGAATTCACTATTGTGTGAGAAAGACCCTAATTTCAGAAGTGAGACTAAGTTTGTAGCACAGCAGTAAGAGGCAAAATCTGCATACTTTTAAAACTTATGTATTGAGGCATCTTTGATTGGCATTGGCCTTTTCTCTTACTTAATAAGAAAAATATACACTTTCTTGTTGGACTAAAAGTATTCTTCTTAATGAAAACATTTTATTTTACTGTGCTATTGATTTCCCTTTTTTTTTTCTGTTCACGAGACTTGGATGGTATCGTTTAAACAGGCAATGGCATTCCTTTGTTTCTAATACAAATAGTATCACTTTTTCTTTTTTTGTTCTCTTCCCCTTCTCAGGTAGCAAAGTCAGGGGGAAATTATATACCCTTTAATGAGTAAATGATGGAAAACAAAGTTAATAATTATACTGGTGTGGCTACTGTGTTTCTTACATTAGATTTGTAGGTCACGTGTCTAACACATTTCAGTCATTGTGGCAATGTAATCTAATATAGATGTTTTAAAGTGTCTTCTGGAAATAGTTGCATGAAGTACAAGTTCTTCTTTATTGATTTTCATTTTCTCCACTCTGTGAAGGAAGTTACTCTACACAAAGTCTCTTTTCTAGCTCTTTTCAGCTGTGGGAGATATTTAATGTTTGCCAAGTCACTGACAAAACTTACTGTAGTTACATAAAGTTCCTAGGTCTCCCTTGCCATTGTGACTGGTCATCTTAATTATCCTGATTTCAGCATACCTGATTTGAAACATTTGGAAATGGAGACAAGTTTTAAAGATGTGTAACTTTTTTAAAAAATAGGCCCTTTTTCTATTGTATATTAGCACTTTTAATAGCAATTCTTATTACACACACATATTTTCACAAGAAATCTTACAGAGATTTTGAAGCTTGAATTGCATTTAGTCTTAGCTATTATTCAAAGAAAAGATCAATGTTGTCATATAAAGAAATTCTTCCTTTGAGGTGACACTCAGAAACATTTTTCAGCCCTGTCAATTAGAGAGTTTCATCTTCTATGCTTACATCTGTGACAACATAATAATTTAGTAACACTTACTTAATTGAAACAAAATCACTGGGGGGAAGAGGAGAATATCTTATCTTAAAATTGCTTAGTGATGTATAGGAACGCCTTAGAATCGGTAAGGTTTTTCAGGTCACTTATTTATTATGCAGGCATGTTTCTTGCTTCACGAAACTTCTGTTGCTGTGGCATTAAGCTAAGAACAGATTTGCTTTCCAGATCCATCAAACATTCCACCTCTGCAGTAAGTATTCTTTCAGCTCCATAAAGAAAACTATTTCATATTCCATGCAATGCTTTAGAGATGCAATAATTTTGCAATGTTGCAAATATATATGCTTTAGAAGTGGTTTATTTATTGTTATAGATAAAGAACAAAATAAGGTATTTGAATCAGTCAAATATTAACCAAACTAATGTAACAGAATTTGGTGATTATTGATTTGTGTATCCTTTTCAGTCTTTAAAGTCACATCTAGCACATATCACACCAGAAAGATTCCCTAGCTTTTAGAGAGAAGCCTGAGATACAGGAGACAGGTTGAATCTCAGCTTTATCACAGGCTTTTGGTAAGACAATTTATTTATTTTTATCTCTGTTTTCCTTTAATGATATGTTGCTTCTTGCTGCAACAACAAGGGATCTATAAGTACCTTAAACTTAATTTTGTATAGAATCTTTTCAGTTTCCCAGCTTAACTGCTTATAAGATTGTGTAAATTCATTTTAAGTCTTCCAGTTATGTTGAAAGAAAACAGCTTTGCAACATGGCAGGAAGCTGGAGATGGCACTCTGCATTCCATATAGAACACTGGAATGTAAATTGTGTTTCCAGTTCATCAAGTCAACAAATTGGGTCAACTAAGGCAATGACAGATCCTTCAAAACAGATACTTGAGTCATTATACTGGAAAGTTGCAACATATTTTGCTCATATGAGAAGTTTCTTTTAATGGGCAAGCCACTTTGTAAGTCAGCTTTTGCCTAAGTCAGTTTTTAATATGCTGTATGTATTTCTATTCTATGTAATTGAGTTGGATATTTACATTAAATGTCCTCAAATTCAATACTGGTTGTTTTTTTTGTTTTTTAAAATTTTTTCATTTGCTTAAGATCTTGGCTTAAGTTGTCACTTTGACAGTGTATTCTACAATTTATTTATGTACAATGTCAGAGTGTCTGCTTCCAACACTATTAAACTTATTAACATTCAATTTCATTACAAGTTTCTCTGAATTAAGAAAAAAGATAAATATAAGCAGCACCTGGCTTTCCATGAGGTACTTCCCTTGTTAGAAAGTGTTAGGGAAAGTAGGAGGTCAGTTAGAGCTTGATGAAGACCTGGGTCTCCTGCTTAACACCCATCTTTGACTCCAGGAAATCCTAGTCCTGCACCTGAAAATGGATTGGAAATTATCAGTTGATGACATAACTGGACTGAAAGGAAGAAGACTCTTAAGATTTGTCATGATCTTCTAGAAAAAAGAACAGCAATGAAGGTTTCATTTTAAAACCTCAGTTAGTTGGCTTCCCCAAAGTAGTAATGTTGACCTGAACACCACTGTAATCTGAATCTGTGAAAACCTGAAAACTAATGCAAGTCCTGCTATTCTGTTTTAAAACTAGTTCCAAGATACAAGAAAGAAAGAAATAGAAAGACTTGAATTGTTAAATATATTTAAACTTGTATAGTATGGAACAGTAAGATGAAGGCTTATTTATTGTCAGTACATTTTTAGCTAGGGAAGGTTACTCAGTGCAGTTAAGATTTACATTATAGTTAATTATAAAAGTCCTGCAGTTGATAAACCTTTAGCTTTTAGCAAATTGAAACAATTTAAGGAGAGGCAGTGCATGGAACAAATTTACTTATGGCAGCATAAAGAATTGTCATTGTTAAGTAGCAAGATTTGAGGTGAGTCTTATTCCTTCCTCTACAAGAAATAGCCTAGCATGTAAAAAAAGACGTGTATGTCTTAGTGTAAGTATTACCTGTGTTGTTTGTAGTTTTAAAGTTATTAATAATATTTACCAAAACATACACTGTAAAATCAGATTAATCTTCTAATATATATGTGTGTTTTTAAATGAATGCAATACAGATTACCTAGTCAGGACTCTCAACTCCCTCTTGTTCTGTGGTAAGAAATCTGATTTGAACTCTAGTGATCTTAAAGGTTTTCTTACTGAGGACAATTAAAAGGTGTTCTGTGTTTGATTCCTCCTGTGTTTGTGTCACACAATGAGGTCAGAATCAGATCTGTTGAGAAGACATAGGAGCAGAGAAGATTCTGTTTAATTTTATAGCTTCCCATTCTTCATAACACAACATATGAGATGGCTTCATTGCTGTAAGCAGGTTGAGTGCAAGCATTGACCTGCTGCATACTGAGTCTACTAGGAGTCATTTTGATGGATTCAAAGTGGAAACTTGAGTGTAATGGTAATGCAGACATTTTCATCTCAGATATGCTGAGAATATGGTTTTTGAATCTTTCTGGTAATATCAATAGCAGGCAGTGGTAAAAGTAACTAAAAATCTGTAGCTTGACTCAAAGAAACAGGAGTGCCTGGAGTGCTGAGGAGTGTCTGGAGTAATGTAAATTACATACATTACATATATGTAATTTACATGTAATGTTTTCTCTGGTATCAAGCTAGTTTGCAAAGATAGATATGAACTTGCACCTTTTTTGTTTGCACATAGAAATTAATTTGGGTTTATTTTTCCTAACTTTATTTCCATTTTTAGATTAAAAATATCACAACTATCAGTAGGTTTTTCTCTGCCTCCACATAGAATAGTTATTAGAAACCTATTTTACAGAAGTTTTCCAATACCTTAATTTAAGGTCTGAATACACAGAAAAAAATATATTCTGATGTGGTTTTGCTGTTCTCTAAGGTAGATACTTTAAAGCTTAAAAAATCTGAATGAAAATAGGAAATGTCTTTGCTATTTTCTTCCTACCCATCAGTTTAACAAATAAAATTACATTGCAAATGCGTACTTTCCAAAATTGATTGAGCAGGAATTGGACTAGAAATAGCATAGTCTTTAAGCTGTTAGCATATCGCAGAAAATAAAAAGAAAGTATGTACATTAATTATTTTCTTTTAAGGTCATTTTTTAAAGCTATTGAGCTAAATTATGCCCCTCCTCCCTCCTTGCTGAAAGTTTAGTGGATTTAAATAATGACAAATGAGAATTTACGACATTTTTGTGTATTTCTTGTTAGTCTGAATTCAAGCTATTATGGAAGCTTTAATGAAAGAACATGTCTATAATTCTGTCTAACTACCAAATTCAGCTGGCAATGGTATATTTGAGAAAGCATGAATGGGGGTTTTCATGCTGAATCCAACAATATCATACTTTGTCTTTCTTAACAAAACCTTTCTGTCTACGTTTTGATCTTGCAGACAATGCCCTTCAGACACAAAAATACAAGACGAATTGAAGGCCTTGATAGCAATGTGTGGTAAGAGAAAAATATCTGCAAATTTCAGAAAATGTCCTTGGCTGATGTATTTTCTTTCCAGGAAGATAATTATTGCTAATAATAAGGTACATGACAGTTGCTATCTCTGCTGAAATACATTCGGTACCTGCTTAGAAGCAGTGAATTAAATTCAATTAAAGGTATGATTGTTATTTTTGAGCTTTAAATATTAGGCTTGGGCATCTCTTCATCTACTAAACCATGTAAGACAAATATAACTCATGGGCATGGCAGTATAGCTGATTTTCAAATTTAAATGTTAATTCTGTTGAATAATGTGTTTCAATTATACCTGATTTATGTTTACAAAACAAGTCAGATTTTTAATATAATTTAGCACATTATTTCTTATGCATCCTATTATTTGTATTAAATTAGTCTTAAAGCAATATTGCCATCACAGATAAATATGAATTTTCTTAGTTGGTGAAAAAGACTATTTTGGGCTTACCTTAGTTGTATGTATGTATTGCATTAGTTGTGTGTACATATACATGAGGTGTTTTGATTATTCAGCTTCACGCTAATTTTTCACAATTTCTATTCATTTTTGACAGTGCTGTGATACTATGTGGGGAGGGTTATGATGAGGAGAAGGTTCCTGAGTTTTATTTTTTAAATCTTATCAACATTTCGGTAGGGAGGAATGAGTAAAATGTAAAGCTGATCTGTGAAGGGAGAAAGGAAAAATTGTTCAAGGATCCTACAGGCTATTAGAAACAGTTAATAGGCAACCTGAAACAGTCTGTTGCCTAAAATTACATTAAAAAAATTATAGCACTCTGAGGTGACTGGGTAGTTTAAATAACACCTTCAATTGACTGAATTTAATCTTTAAGGCATTTAATGTGCCTGCTATTCAATTTCTGCATATAGCCAGAGTAACTGTGTATTTGTGTATCTGCACATCTGAGCACACTTCTGCCAGCAAAGTTTTCCTATGGATGCAAACAGCAACCTTTTTTTGGGTGCCCTCTGACTCCTGCCATCACTTAACATTATTTCAGCCCTCAGCTCTCCATTCTACTTAAAACTGTTCCCATTGCTGTAAATCTGGCAAACTGAAATACTTTCTTTTTGCCTTTTAGTGTTAATGAATAAAAAGATAATTTTATCATGTATGTTAACTTTAAGATGTTTTTTTCCTCCAGGGTTGAATTTACAAAAGTGGCAGCAGATCCCTCAATTGTTAATCTTGGTCAAGGCCTTCCTGATATATCCCCTCCCAGCTACGTTAAAGAAGAGCTGGCAAAGGTAGCAGCAGTTGACAGACTGAACCAGTACACCCGAGGCTTTGTAAGTATTGTGGAACTCCAGGACCCAAGTTCAGTGGAAAATGTGCCACAGGGAAAAATTGACTTTAAAATAGTTTTGTCTATGGATCATAGTTTTATGTCCCAAATTAAGTTCATCTATTAGCCTTGTCTATTACTAATGAACTTCCTCTGTGTAGGCTTCTTTGAGGCAGAATCCTTTAGCAAGAGCAGAATGGTAGAGCAAATCTGGGATAGACTGTCTCTGAGGAGTTGATTCAGTTTAAAGAGTGAAGGTTACACATTTACCCCTAACTTTGGTCAGTGGGAACATGAATCAAACAGTACAATGGGAGAATGAGAAAGAAATACTTGGTACCACTTGAGACAGCACCTCTAAGATCAAGAAGAGATTCACTCACAGAACTTAGTAGGTTTCAGTGGAGACTAGGAAGGGATGAAAACAGGAAGTTTTTGCCCCTAGAATATATTTATTACACATTCTGTAAGCTGGCTTGTAGAGTTTCTGTCTGGAGCTGGGTGTGAGTATGTGGCATTTATCATTGTCCAAGGCAGGGTATTCCAGGGCACTATTACTGTTTTAGTATGACCGGTTCCTTGTTTGGTTTGTCTGTCTTTTGTGATAAACAGTATTTCCCAAATTAGAATCATGTGCCAGGACTGCTACAAGACCCTAAGGAGTATATAAAGTGTTTTTCTAGCTGATCATGTTATGCAACAGGGGCAGAAAAGCATTGTGTAAGCCAGTAGGCCAGAAACTGTGTTGGTAGTTGTGGCATATTCCAACATATTTTTTTGCCTATTCTCTGAGAGTCCACGTGAATTAGAAATGATGGGGAGCAGCAGTGACCAGCACTTCTCTAAAGGACAAGCTCTCACAGAGAGCACAGTGGAGGTCTGAGCAGTTGTGCCCTGGGGAGCAAGGCATGCCCAGAGATACTGGCTGAGGCAGCTCAGCTCACCTGAGATCAAGCCAGGAAGTCAGTCCACAGATCAGGCTCAGCAATGCTAAGCGTAGTTAGACATAACCCAGTCATCAATGGGCAGCTCCAGAGTGACACAGCAGGTCTAAGGTCAAGCCACAAAACCAACAAGGACCTTTAGCTATGTACAAAGAGTCTCTGCAAGTACGAGATACATACATACAAATAACACACATAACAAAAAAATCCCTCTATGTAGACTTGAAAGAATAAAGCAATTATTTTATGTCAGATACATGCAAATGATATCCTGAATTAAGTTAACTTCTGGTCTAAGCATTATTATGTACACCAACAACAATATGGTATCTGAAAAGTCTTGTCTGCTCACCAGACAAAGTTTTGGAGGAGCCTTGGCACAGTGGACAAGGTTGCAGAGAACATGGGCTGCAGTCATGTCTGTATACTGACTTTATGTCATGTCTGGTAACAGACTTTACCAGCTACTAAGAACATTAATTCTATCTCAAGCTGAAACCATGCCAAGTCTACCTTCTGACAAATATTCACAGACTGATTCTGTAAAACTATTTGCAAATCAAGCATAAATACAATTTTCCTAATGCATTCAATTGTTCAGTATTTATTTCTGTCACTTTGTTCTTTTTATCCAAATACTTTGATAATTCCCATGATAATTATGGATATTGACAGATATACTGCAGATAGTAATTAAAGAGGAATTTTTACTCATATTCTCATATTCAACCTTTGTATTTCATCTGCAAACTTGTGCACTTCTAAGGTTTTTGAGCACACATATTTGTGGTAGCACACATGGGAGGGATGGGAGTGAGTGATGCCCATCCATCTGAGAACTGAGTCATTGTGACAGCTAAACTCAGAGCTCTAAATGACTATAGGACCATAGACTGGCCTGATGTGGCTTGGGTGCTGCAGCATTCTTGTCCTGCTGACTGGCTCCCTGTGGCTGTCATTAGAATCAGCAATGATTTATAAGCCTTAATTTATGGTAATGTTTTTGTTTGTAGAAGGGTTCGTGATCTAATGCCTTTTGTATCAAGATATAATGTTCAATATTTGAGAGGGTTTTTGTTACATAGTTGCATTTTTTCTACCTGCATCCCAAAAGAAAAAATATTTTTGAGGTAGGATTTCTGCAGTTTTCCTGAATAAATGGAACTGTGCCTTCTTATTTTTGTGTTGTATATGCTCTTTGTTGCATGTTTGTTTTCTTTTTACTTGCACATTTTGAGAAGAGTATGTTAACTGCCATGTCCCTGAAGGGGACACAAATGGTGAATGGTATTCTGAGATTTGGGATGTGACTATATGAATAAATATTTTGATCACAAGTGCTATTTATCAGCAATATACAATACGATAAAAAGATTTTCCTTGCACCAAATACTTTTTGTTGAAAGATAAGAAGGGAAACTGAAGGAGCTGAAAGAGACTCAGAAGGAGGTGGGGATGAATTGATGTCAGAGTATTCTGTTCTCTTCTGCCTCTTGTCCTAGCTAGACTGTAGGCTATCTGGACCTACTCTGAGATGTGATAATATGAAAGAAATTAAAAAGCACCAGATAGAAAATGAATTTCTGAGTAGATACAAATAAATTGAAGACACTTTTCTTTCCTAGTGTTCAGAAAGTTTAAACCCTCCACCCGTTAGCAGCCATTAAGACTGAGGGCTGATGTTGTATTTTTCTATTTCAAAATGTAATAGTTGGATACATGTAGAAAAAAGCTCAAACACGAGCTTTATACATTGTCAGGCACACTCCAATCAGTTCCTTATTTTTTGTTTTGAACAGGGACATCCATCACTGGTGAAAGCCTTATCTCAAGTCTATGAGAAAGTTTGTGGAAGAAAGATTGATCCTCTCACAGATATCCTGGTGACTGTGGGAGCTTATGGATCTCTCTTTAGTACTATACAGGCACTAATTGAAGAGGGAGATGAAGTAAGTTTTTGCTGGAAATATTCACGTATATTCGCAGACATGAGAATCTTTCTCTTTTTCTTATTTGTCTACTTTAAATATAAGTCAATGTTGGGGCTTCTTTCTGTCCCTATTGGTTTGATTTTTTACTGTTGTACATCTGACTTATGATTTCAGAAACTGTGATGAGGAGATGATCCTTTGGATATCTTCCTATCACTTATCAATTTACAAACCTTTTTTCATTCTTAGGGTATCTGTGGCAGTTTCTTTGTCACTGTAACTGTTAGGTGACACAATACACACTGATTTCTTATTTGAGAAAACATGTGGGATGTTTTCTGCAACAGACAACTAAGGGTGGCACAAAAAATTGTTGGTGTTTGGGTAACCATTGTGTATCAGGTTCTGTTTAGGCCCATTGCACAGTGGCAGTGTAGGTAGTAAAAAAGCTTGTTAGTTACCATGGTAGTTGTGATGACTCAGCTCTTCACTATTACTGATGTCTGCCTTTTGACAATGATATAAAAAGTAATTTTACAGGAATATTTCTATCCATAGTGGACAAAACCTTTTTGTGTTGTCATGTATTTTGCTTTCAGTGTTTAATTTGTTTCACTTGTATTCTCATTTTGCTTTTCTATTGCTCTGATAGTCACTTCTCTTTTGTTTGGAATAGTTCTATAAGCCTTTGCTTTTGGTGGGTTGTTTTGTTTGTTTTTTCCTATTGTCTAGCCTCTGTGCAGTTTTTCTTGAGTTTTTACTCTTTCTTTACCTGAGAATTTTTGTCTGATAAAATTTGAAGACTTAACTGTTCTTCTGAGATTTCTAGATACTTGGAAATCCTGGAATTTCATGGGCATAATTAGAGCAGCTCTGCTGTGGTTCAGTAATTTGCCACTGCAAATTTCCTATCTTTGCATCTTTGCCTTGTGTCTTCAAATCTGTGTGTAGGACTCAAACGTTCTTATTATTATAACTCAACAGTTGTAACGTGTAACGAGAAAAACAGCCTTTGTGTGTTGTCGAAAATGAGTGGTGCTTATCATACTTAGCCTGAGGGCATTATTGTGTTGTACTCTAAAAGGAAGAATATTCTGCAATGTTATAACATTAAACCTGGAGTGCCAGAAACATTATCAAGCTATGGCATCAAGGCAAATGTAGAAATATGATGGCATTGTCATGGTAAACTCTTTGTTTCTGATACTGATGATTGTCATTTCAGGTAATAATAATAGAGCCATTTTATGACTGTTATGAGCCAATGGTAAAGATGGCGGGTGCAAAGCCTGTTTTTATCCCACTAAGATGTGTGAGTAACTTTTTAAAAATTAGTAATTATATAAAGTTTCTCATCCATATTCAATACAGTTTGATGAACACCTATGTGATGGTTTTCTGTATAATGTATTGTAATATCAAATTACATAAAAATGAGATAGATTGTTAGTGTAAGTCTGAGACAATGATAATCCAAAAGAGAATATTTTATTAGTGTTGGAGAAGGTGCAACACTGTTGCTTATTTGCTTTAATTTGTGCATTCTGAAAGCTGATTAAAAGTACTTTCTTCAGTTTTCAGTGCAAATTATGGAAGGAGGGTCCCTATATCAGTGCAAATTCTCTGTCAGTTGTTTTTCAAAAGGTTTGGTTCCTGATCCCTGCAGCAATTCCTACAATGACAGAATACAGTTTCTTTTCCAAAATATGCTTGCTAAATAAGGACTGATCATGTAGTAGATGTTTTTGCTATACATACAAGAATTACTTTCCTTTATAGTTAAATAGGCTATGGGTTAATTGTCAAATTGGTACTACTGGCATTATGCCCACAGCTTGCAAGGATTGTTCTGTCTGCCAACTGTGCCTTGTGCAACCGGCAGCCTTGCATGGGAAGGGCTGAGGGGCTCTTTGGGCAGCACTGTTGCAGGAACACCATTAAATCAGAACAACACAGAATGACAAAACCTCCAGGACTGCAGTGGGAGTAGGTGAGACTGTTCCTCTGGAAGTCCATCTTCTAGGGATGTTTCGAATTACGGGGCACCTCTAAGCATTTTCTGTTTCACACCCTTGTTTTCAGTCTGGCCCTCTCCCAGTCATTGCAGGTATCACAAGGGTAGTGTAGCCATGCTCCATGTTCTCTGTACCAACTGGCCCAAATTTCTTAACCATTTTTAATACCTCAGGGATACTTGTATTGTGTAGTACATAAACTCCAAAGACTCAGTAGTGCAGATTTGTAGCTCTTTGGCCATTTTCATTAGTTTGAGGAGGAAAAAACCTTGAATCCCCAGTGGTGATCAGCCTTTTCAGTCAAGCAAGTACACACTTGCTCTACTGTCTGGCAAGTCTGTAAACTCTCCTTCCATGTGACTGGACTTTCTGCATTACACACCATAATAACCAGCATGTGTGCAACAAGATCCTGGAAACCAATTCCTGCAGGGGCTTAAGACAGACAGTGGCCAGGAGAGGACAATCACTGTCATAATAATTTGACTGTTCCTAGAATTACCTTCTCTTAGGTGAGCAAGACAAATTGGATAGGTTGTCACATATGGCTATGAAAGTGTTTGAGGGTGATAAGTTCAGCAGCTGTTTTTAGGCTGCATGTATTAAAGTCACGCATAAATTTATTGTGGTTTTGTTTTTTGTGTATTTTTGTGGTTTTTTAGAAAAAAGATGGAAACTCTGCATCTAGTGCTGATTGGGTCTTAGATCCTGCTGAACTTGCAAATAAATTCAATTCCAAAACAAAAGCAATTATTCTGAATACCCCACACAACCCAATAGGCAAGGTAAGACTCCTGCTTTAACACCACTTTAATTTCAAAGAATGTCTTAAATACTGTGATTAATGCATTTTCCTTTACTTTTTCTGTATCCCAGGTTTTTACCCTAGAAGAGCTTCAAGTAATAGCTGATCTCTGCATTAAACATGACACTCTGTGCATCAGTGATGAGGTGTATGAATGGCTGGTGTATAAAGGGAATAAACACATTAAAATAGGTACTGATTTTTTATGGCCTTTTAGAAGTGATTGTGGAATGATGCTGTGAACTTGCCTCCCAAGGATAATGCTTGCTGGAAGAAACTCATACTTCAGGCTTTGAAATTTTTCAATGTTTAGGCTCTAAGGAGGAGAATCCCCCTCTCTTCTAAAAATTATTTTAAAGAATAATTTCCAAATAGAAGTTTCAAAGTTCTTAAGTGATGTTGGAGCAGATATCCATAGAAAGAGTGAGGCTGATGCTTGCAAGTCAGTTATGATCATATGAATTTGCCATCCTTATTCAGTTACTTTGTTGGCCATGACAAGTATAGCTGCTGTTACTGTATGTATATTAGACAGTGCTTTGCTGAAAAACTAATAGAAGGAACAGGAATTAGAACTTCTTCTCAAAGCTTTGTAAGATAATCAATGAGGGAAATAGACAATGAGCAACACAATTATTTTTGCTCCACTAATTATAAAAAACTAAAAAATAGTGCATGAGCACTGTCCCTCCAAAGGACGGCGACAGGGTTAAATACTGGACATTGAATTCAGTGAAATAAGTCCTGCAAGTGCAGTATGAAAGCCTGTTAAATCTTTAGGTAGTGTTGCTACAGGGGTAAAGCACCAGTGCAAGAACAAACCAGAAAAACAGATAATGATGCCAGGTTCCTGATCCTCTTGTTTTACTTGATCCAAGTTTCACTGAAGTTAGTGGAATCACTCCCACTGCCTCAGAACAATTTAACCTAGTGCAGTTTACTGAACTCCTTTGCAAGTTCTGTAATGCTACAGCTATGTATTTCTGTGAAAATTTCTAGTCTGATGGCCTTGGGTTGGCTTTGCTGATGTATTTGAAAAGTCCAAAATTTCTTTCTCATATGTACAGATACTTTGTTTCTGATGGTAGCATCTTGCACGAACTACCTGTTCTGATGTACTTCTTGCATTGAAGGCACATTTCAGTCGTGTGCAATAAAGGCATATAGTTAAGATTAAACAATGAAATCAAGACACTTAAATTGGACATGAAAAAACTTACCTTTTTTCCTAGCTCTGACACTTGTTGAATGCTGAATAACTTTGCTTCTAGGCTTCAATTCCATATTTGTAGAGTGACAATAAAATCCATTGGTGGGGGCTACATCATTGTGAAAATTGAATCTTATGAGTAATAGAAAGAAAATTATACCTAAATGACCTTGCAATACTTGTTAGCTCAGCTGCACAGTTGCTGTTCATCCAGCTGCAGTACATTGATTGTATTGGCCATGCATAGGCTGTGAGTTTATTTTGAGAGTGACCTAATTCCATGGCTGTTGTGGTTGCCTTGATAGTGATACTGTCTGAAAGACCTTCAGACATGGAAGAAGGAGATCATTTTGGGTACATTAATTTGATAGTAATCTGAGTCACTGCATCTTAACAGGTTACCTAACAGTAACTGATCAGGTGTCCCAGCTGCAAAGTGAAGTCAGTTGGATTAAAGATTTCTACATGGGTTTAGCAGGTGTTTCATGGCCTTAGCATTTCATGCAAACCTGTCTTCATAATCAAAATCTCTGTGTGTGGTGTAAGGTAATCCCTTTTCCTTTCAACAGCAGCAGGTCCAAACACATTGTCAGCTACATTTCATCTTATGGACAGGTGGTGAATTCTTAAGATGCAGTATCTCCATTGTCATCAGCATCTTAATGCTTCAAACCAAAACATTGCACCCAACCAAAGGCATTCTGTAATTTAGCACAAAATGTAAAAGTACTGTATAAAGAAAATGAAAATTAAAGCCCAGAAAGTTAGTCAACTAGGTTTAGGTACAGATTCTTTAACAGATCCCATATCATCTTTAACTTTAGTGTTAAAAGTACTCTAGAACTTTCAGAGTAACACTGTAAACAATAACATTATTTCAGTAAAAGAAACAGGCTCTGCTCTTTTTTTACTTAAGTTTCTCATATTCCTTATTACTTTTAATTCTAAAAAAATCATAGAATAAAAATGAGTGTGTTATTTCTCTCTATATAAACTCTTGTGTTTCCATAATAACCTCTACATTTTCTATCCAATGCTGAGACACTTTTTTTGTGGGAGATACAAAATGGATATTGCATCAATTTACAGGATCTCATAGTTGTTCCATCTAACAATTTAGCAGGGGTTGCTAGCCACATCTCATAAAATTAGTACAGTCTTTGTGCTGTCACTGAAGCAGTTTTCTGTAGTGTATAACACTTCATCATGTTTCCCATCATCTGACTTCTGTAAAAATGTGGACTTCGTCTGCATAATGATTAGGGTTGTACTGACAGATTTAGAGATTGCACCTCATAACTGAGGATTCTGAGCAAGCTATTCAATAAGCTGAGTACCGTCCCAGGTAACAGGCTTATTATATGTTAGTTGCACTTCATTAGTTTTTAAATTGTAGTCAGACTTGGTTATGGTGTCATATGATGTCATATATCGTTGCCACATGGCATGGAGAAATTTCCCTCTGTATTTAAAACTTGTTTGTAAAAGCAATGGAGCTGCTTCTTTCACTGTGCCCTTGTACTGCTGCTAGTGTGCTGTCACATTCTATCTCCAAGGTTGAATTCCTGTGTGGCAAAACAGGCTTGCTAGAGGCCATTAGCTTTGAAAGCCAATTCTTTTTGCAGTCTGTGAGAGCTAGTTTGGGTGCCTCTAAAAGTGATCTATACTGGTGGCCTGGCATGGTAGAAGATACATCTGTTCAAACTTCTTCTTTTCAAGGTCACAGAGTAGTTGAGTATGGGTAAGCTAACAGAAAAATCAGTTTCTTTCATGCTGTTTGGTCTCTCCTCTTGGTAAGTTTGCTCAAAAAATTGCAATACATGTTTTCAAATAACTGAAAGACTTATACCATGTCTAATGGAAATAACTGCTGAAAAATCTTGCTTTTGAAATTCAGGGGTTTAATTTGGAAAATATTTGTTCATTGGTCTCGCTAGAGAGGGGATTTAACAACTGACAGATTCACTGGTAGTGGTTCTAGTATGCAAATGAGGTGAAGTCAGATGTTGGTGACTACTGTAATTGCAACCTTGTCTGACTGTCTCAGACTTACATGAGTCTGGATTTGCCTGTTTCTCTTGAAATTAATTAAGTTAGAGTCCAAATAGAGCTTTGCAGAAGCAGAATAGAGAAAAAAAATTCAAACTACTGGATGAGACCTTTGCTCTGTTATCTGCTTGGAAAGGGAACAAAGGATTTTGGTCTCCTGTCAGATACAACTGCAAAGACAGCGACGGGCCTCTGTGAGTCCCTTAATCTTTGCAGATATTTTAGCTAACTGCTATTGTCAGTCAGTCTCAGGCCTGTTCAAATTGTACAATACAGCATAATTTATTTATTCAGTCTGCTAGTTTTCTGGTGTTCTGTTGTTTGGTTCTGGGTAATTATTTTCTTTATGTCTGAGACAGGCAGTGACACTGAACTGGACAATTCTAGTAAAGTGGGTTGCAGTGCCTGAGTTAATGTTGTGTATAGTACTATTACCAGGCATCAGAAATAATCTGTCCTGGGGCAAATGGGTAGCCTTAGATCATATTTTTCTTATGGAGAATTGTGCATTCTAACAAGTAGTTTTCAAAATGTACTTCTTATTTTCTGTCTCTTCTTTCTCCTTTCATTAATCCTTACCTTCTTTTCATGCTAAAACACACTGGCCCGTACATCCTTTCTCATTTGTTACAATTGCTACAATTTTAGAATATTCTTGTTGTTTGCATAATATGATGCAATGAACATACAGCTCTGAGCTAAGGGCAGTGCAGTTCTTCAAATTACATGGAATATGTGAGTGCACTTTTACCAAATTAATTTTATTTTATGTACAGCTACATTGCCAGGTATGTGGGAAAGAACAGTAACTATAGGAAGCGCTGGGAAAACATACAGTGTAACTGGTTGGAAGGTAAGAAGAATCAATATAAATTGGTTAAGTTATATAAAAACCAGAATGCATTTATTACTCTAAAAACACCTCTGTTTTTATGACCTCTATTCTGAAAGTTTCAGGCAAATCTTCATGTCTCTAAAATGTGACAGTACCATTCAGTTGGAACAATTACCTATCTTTAACACCCATGTCTTAATCATCTTTTTGTCCCTTAATTGATAAACTCTTGTGAGCATAAATTACTAAAAAAACCACCACAGTATAACGTGTTCTAAATCTGTAAAAATTCTTGGAGAAAATATGGATACTATGATATTTTAACTTCCCAGTTTTCCCATCTTTTAAATATGTATCAGAAAGTGAAAAAAAAAAAAATTAGCAACTAAATTCTTCACCACCTGTGTTCAAAGGGAACTATAGCATATATGATGCAGTAGTGAGCTTTTGTTTTATATTCAAACTGGCTTTGACACAGGTGCTTAAGAGATGGAAAGGTTCTAAACCAATTAGAAAGAACATTACTAATAAATGTTCAGTTGGATTTCTAACCCTTGTTATATGAAGAGTTATAAGTTTGCTCAGTATCCTATAGGAGATAGGGATGAGGGAAACTACAACTGTTGTCTCAAATCTACCATTTTTAAAGTTGTCATATACTAAGCTTTGTGTAAACCAGCTTTTTCTTAATAATTTATCAAAACAAATTCTTAAAATAGAAGAACTTGAGACATTGGCTAATTTTTAGTATCTGTTATCTTTTAGTAACAGCACTGCCTGTAAGTGTAATATATGCATGATTTCCTCCTTTAGCTTGGTTGGTCCATTGGTCCCGAGTACCTGATTAAGCATCTGCAAGTTGTTCACCAAAATACACTGTATACTTGCCCAACTCCATTACAGGTAGGTACAGATGGATCAGAGGAGATTGTTTTCTGGTATAAGAAAGCTGTTGGCCTCATGTAATAAAACAGGAATCACAACAATGAATTTTTAGTTGTCAAGATACATATTCTAGGGTGTAAGAAGAGTAAACAAATTTGATCAGCTCACCAGACATTTAAAAATCAGTCTTGCAGATTCTGTAATCTTGTACCTACAAACTACTTCTTGCATAAAACATGACAATCTTAATGGTTTCCTAGGAAATACGAATGAATGTTCTGTCTTCTAGTGTTTAGTATTCTATGGTACATTATTATCAAACAGTTGAATTTAACTTCAATTCATGTAAACACTTGTGTCCAGGACTCTGACTTCTGTATATGATTAGTGCTTAGCAAAAGATTGGGTGTTTTGGTTGTTACCACAGCACAAAGTAATGAACAGATTACAGATGTATCTTGTGCAATTTGTGTGGTGATTTGCTTAATATGGGCCAGGACTGGAAAAAAAAATCTACGTGATTTCAGCAGGAAGTGGGAGTGTCTGTGCATTTACTGAGTGTTAATGGGTACTTTGGACCTTATGTTTCCAGGAGGCTTTGGCACAAGCTTTTTGGGTGGACTATAAGCGCATGGATGACCCAGACTGCTATTTTTACTCCCTGTCTCGAGAGCTGGAGAGCAAGCGTGATCGGATGGCTCAGCTCCTGAAAGAGGCTGGACTAAAGCCTGTCATTCCAGATGGAGGATACTTTATGATTGTTGATGTTTCCACATTAAGTCAGTATAAAGTTTATTAAAAAGCATGTGGAAATTTGGTTAATCATAAAATTCAGCTTTCATTTTAAACTATATTCTCATCTCATATACACACATACGTGTGCGTAACGTTGTCAGGAGTACTAATGGGGATTGACATTTTCAGTTTCACCTTAGCTGGTAAGGTAGATTTTATGAGCTTCAGCAAAGCATTTGTGATCCTAGCTTGTTGTCCACGTTTTGCAAAGCTTTGGTAAGTTTTTATGGAGGATAAAGGAGGAAGATAAACATTCCTATTTTCAAAACATCTGTGATTATGAAAATGTTTGAGAGTCAAGCCCCTGGATTATATACTGAGTTCATACCATTTGTATTTTCTTCTTTCTGGTCTTTTTTCTGTTTATTTATTTGTTTTTTCTAATCTGAAGTCACATCCTAAAGGTTCTTTGGAGCATTCTGATCTCTAAACACTGTAAAATGCTACCAAAATTTATAAACCTTTTGAAAATTCAGGCTATGGTAGCTTCAGAGAAAGAATTCCCACAGGGGAAGGGTTTTTTAGGTCCACATTTTTCATTAACTGGTCTAAATGGTATTTGTCATTCAGACAGAAATGTTTAAACACAGAAGGATATCACAGTTTAATCATGTGTCAGGAAGTTGTAGGTACCCAGTTTCACAGATCAGAAAACTGCATTTTCAGGGATTATTGCTGTCCATGCAATAAATGCACTCTTCAGTACCCTCCATAGCCCTGATCCCCCAGTAGCCCCCAATAGACTTCAATAGACTTCAGGACTTCTTGGAGTATTGCATGGCTTTCTTCCAAGCTACATGTCTGAATTTGCTTTGGATGGAAAAAAAGTGCTTAGATCAGAAGCAAAAGGTTCAATCTGTTGGCCTATTTTACTTCTTAGAGTGTAATTTTAAAATTATATATTAAAATAACATATATATCTTCATTCTTAAGTATTAACTGTAATAAAATGCTGTTAATGAATGACTTTCCATTGGCGTCTAGGAAATCTTACAACATATTTGTTTTACATTTAGATGTGGATCTCTCTGATTTAGATGAGAAACAACCTTATGATTATAAATTTGTCAAATGGATGATAGCATCTAAGGTAAGATGTCTTAGTCATACTCTAGTTTTAGAAATGCTTTTCTATTGAAAGCAAGAGCAGTGCAACTGTAGTTATTAAGTCATGTAGTAGAGATGTTCTACTCAAAATATTATTTGGTGTTGCTGATAATGTTGTGACTAAAATATTGTAAGTACGTTGAAATTGTACACTGTAGGTTTGTGCTACATCCCACCAGTTTTCTTTCAGGATGCTTAAGTGCTAGTTGTACAAAAATACCTTTGAAATATTTTGCCTAAGAAAAGTAATTTTAATTTAGTAGAAGCCTAGCTAGTGCATACAAAACTGAACCTTGTCTTTCCCTCAAGTGTTGGGAGTTCTAGAAACAGAATAATAAAATTGTCATGCTTAAACCAGATCTTTTATACACATTTAAATAAGCAAATGCTATTTGTTTTATGTTTCAGAAGCTGTCAGCAATTCCTCTTTCAGCATTCTGTGGTCTTGAGACAAAGAAACAGTTTGAAAAATACATACGTTTTTGCTTCATTAAGGTAAAATTGTGTCTTGAAAATACAGTACAGGAATCTGCAAGAGACTGACTATTACATTTTCCCAGGATCTCCTGTATTGAAAGATTTTAGGAACATAAAGTTAGTTTGAAGTAAAGTTCAGCAGGAAGTATCTTCAGTTGTCTTTTTCCTGAGGGACTTTACACCATCAGTGTAGGTGGCATGGCTAGGAAGGGCAACTAGCAGAAAATAACTGGATGGGTAGCCCTTTTAAGCTTATTGTATTGATTTTTAAAAGCATTCTTGACCAGTGGTGACAGTGAAAATTATTGAGACAGGTAAGCTATCAATTAATGTGACACCCAGAAACCAGAGCAGAGTATAACTGTACAGCAGAGTGTATGCCCCATGCCCATTCAGTGTCCAACAGCAAAAACAGTGGTCACCTTCAAATTTAGCTCACTTGCCTGAAAATAACGGTTTCACATGAGCTCCAAATTACAAAAGAAAACATGTTCTTTTGTGAATTGGCTGAATTTTGGCATTTTGTAAGCACCTTCTTTGCACATACTCTTCCCCCTGTTAAGTCGGTTCTTGAAAGGCTGGACGACCTTGGGGCCAGGTATGTAAACTTTGATTGGCCCAAAGCCCTAAGATGTTTTCCCGTTGTTCTATAACAGTCAGCATAATGGAGTGTGCAAATCCTGAGCTGTTCAGTGTAAAGATCAGAGCCTTAGCCTGAAACAGTAATGAAGGGGAGTTTCTCCTTGATGAGGTGTAAAGTATGTGGTAAAAACTCAGCCAGTAACAACCAGGATGCAGTTACTGGTTGTACCTGTGAGTGTAAACTCACTATTGATCTCAAGTTAGACTGCCTATATGACTCACCGGGCTGGAGCCAAGATACACAGTTTGGAGGGATATGTTTAAGTAGTTTGCAGCATAACGTGGTTGGTTGCAAGAAGATTAAAAAATCCCAACTGTACTCAATAGGGATTAGGAGAGTGTGCTAGCATGTCTCTAAACTAGAGCTGCTAAGTTACATCACTGCATTAATGCCATGAATTTATGTAAATATTGCTTTCATTAAGTGGGATAATATGAATGCTGAGTTGATATCTTTTAAATATATCTAATAAATATTTTCAAGGAATCAGCACTGAATTCTTTATATAGTTCAGATTTGTACCTAACAACTCTCAATGAAAAACTGGCTGAAAAGATATTTACAGGATGCAACTGAAACAACCAAATACTGATTTGAGATTATATAATCATGACTGACTCTTTTCAGGAACTCCATACTTGAAGTAATAGTGTTGTTTCTTGTTTTGCAGAAAGACAGCACACTAGATGCAGCTGAAGTGATCCTGAAGAACTGGAATAAACAGACAGGCTGATTTTTCTTATTAACTCTTCCATATAGTATAACTATCTAATATAAGTTTGTTTTTTTTTTTTTAATTGGAAATTTAAGAAAAAAATTACTTAATACAGTACAGAATTAATATGACATTGTAAATAACTTTTTACTGATACCTGCTAAGGAGCTAAAACAATGATTTACTGAAATATGTGTAATACAACCTAGAGGTTATTTTCAGTCTTTTAAAAATAAAATGCTTTTCTCTTAAAGAAACCCCAATGGGATTAATTTCTTTTACTGAAAGGAAAAATTTCTAGGATTCTGTGTAAAATAAATAAATTATATAGGTATTTTAAAGCTTTCAAGTAAAAAGGGAGAGGTGGTTTTGGTATGAAATAATATGGGAACTAGAGAGAGACTTAGAGAAACATCTTAGTTTGTGAAATCAATAACCTGCAGTAGAGGAAGATTAAGACCCGTGGCCCATATTAGATAATTGCAGTGACTCTCTTCATACCTGCTACCTTCTCTGGCTGCAGAAATTGTATCAGTTAAATAAAGTGAAAAGTGCTAAGTTACATAATTACTATTTTATTCACCACAATAGTCATGTATGGTGTTCTGAAAGTATTCAGTCCTCAATACAATTATAAAAGTGGCATCTGGAATAGGCATTCTATTTACCTCTGGCTACCTTGTATTTATTACATGGATGAATCTACAAAGCAAAATTTACTTTAGAGGATCCTTTACAATCAGATGTACAGTGATGTAATTATTTGTGTCATTATGTTTCTTTTATATTACAACGTTGGCAGTATCACACCAAACTTCAAACTCTTTAGATCTAGGGGGCCATGGAGGTCTAATGCTATTAGCCTAATGCTGCCTAATGCTGTTCTGTGGAGCTCAACTAGCTCGGTTTCAAGCACAGTAGATAAAGGACTTATTTCAAAAGAAGTCAATATGAAGAATTCCTTTCTAGCTACCTCATTTTTCACTTCTTTCTGCAATCTTTTCATCTGTGGATGTGTTTCCCACTATCAGAAGCAATCCAGGCAGGTGACTTTTTAAGGCTGTGTGCTATGTCCTCCATGATCTTTCTATGTTCTTCTGGTTTCAGATGGGATAGAATTAATTTTATTCTCAGTACCTGGTACAGTGCTGTGTTTCAGATTCAGCATGGAAATAAGGTTGATAACACACTGATGTTTTGGTTGTTGCTAAGTTGCATTTATCCTAAATCAAAGACTTTTTTGTGTCTCCTGCTCTGCTAGTGAGGAGGAACAAAAAAAACTAAAAAAGCTGTGAGGGAACGTAGCTGAACAAGTGACCCAAACTGGCCAATGGATACTCACACCATGGAATGTCATGGCCAGTACATCAGCTGGGGAGCTTGTGGCAAGGGGGAGCTGACCGGGGCCTCAGCAATGGGGTCTGCCATCAGACAGGGGCTGGTAAGCAACTGCATTGTGCCTTACTCGTTTTTCTTTTTTTAAAATTATTTTTGTTATCATTATAATTATTTACTATTGTTCTTTTTAACTTTGTTTCAATTATTAAACTGTTTTTATCTCAAACTACAGGTTTTACTTTTGATTTCTCTCCCCATTTCACCAGTCTGGGGTGGTGGGTGAGTGAACAGCTGGGCTTAAACAATGACACAGCTCTTATGGGTGCAAAGCCTGAACAAATTCACTAACTTGTTTTGCCAGCATTTTACTTATTCTGTGATCACATAGCTGGACTCTTAACTGAGTTCCATGAGACTGTAATCATGGCCAGGACCTAAAAAAAGGTATAGAAAGTGGCCTGAGAGAAGAGCTGCTAGATATTTTCGTTAATACTTCTTAGTCTTGGGCTTTTGGGACTCCAGTAGCTGGGAGTTCCACAGTCTTTGTAGCTGTCTTGCACAGCCATTCCCCAGATCTCACCAGAAGATTGTTGGCTGGTATTTTGAAAGTGGTGTGTAGTCTTTGTGTAGAAAAATCAATTCAGTAATTAGATTTACTTAGCTGAAATTTCAGAATTAATTTAATTTAAAAATTCCTATATTAAATTCCAAGATAAACTACTTTTTAGACACCAAATTTGTGTGAAACCTATACTCTCTTTTACAAGAAGTTTACAATCTGTTTATACAAGTTGCACTGGGAGAGCCGTGATGTTGCAAGAACTGAGATTGCAACAGGCTATTGAACTACATGATAAATCAACAAACCATTACAAAGATCCTTTAGACATACAAATAAGAGCCAGTGATTTGTTTTCATTAATGTACTGTTCATTGTGTTTGCAAAATAGTCTGAATATCACACTGCATTATTGTTGAAATGATCCTGGTAATGCAAAAATTGCAGTTTAATTAAATACTTTTATTACTGACAGTAACCAGCATGAGAAACTTGGTGTGAAATTTTGAGAAGCTCCAGAATGACCATTGAAGCAAGTTTTAAAATAGGATTATTGTTGTGACTACAGTGATGGGAAAGAACAGCTGGGCACAGCAAGGTAAACTTTGTATATTATTAAAATGATCTGTTGACAGAGCATATTAATGGTAATACTTCCATCTGCCACATAACTACGTTTTTTGTCTGCTACTTGAAAAATTGCTGCAGACAAGGAATAAAAGAACCATTATATATCTATTGTAGTTTTGCAATATATCTGAAAATCACTGTCCTTCTATGGTGAAAATGAAATGCTTTCAATTCTAAGTTAATGAGAATAGGCTTAGAGGCTTGGCAATGGTTGCCAGCAGAATATCTTTTTTGTAGAACAGAATGCAGAAGAAACCAAGACAAACCTGGAAAGCTTGAAGGGACACATGGTGGTGATGAGGCACATCTACTGCAGTCATTGCGCCATACATATTTCAGACGTTATGGAAAAACCTTATATCATGTGCTATATTCACACCAACAGTTACAGTGACTTGTTTTTCATTACTCTTTCATCTTTTGGTTTTACTGAGCATTTCTGAAAAATATTATTGCAAGTGGAAAAAAAGTTTTAAGTTTGTATCTCAGCATTTCTATTTTCTAATAGTTCAGCTTTCTTATATTCCAAAAGGTTTCTATTTATTTTAGCCTAAGGAATTTGCTGTCAAGTTTAAACCTGCCCATTTTCAACCAGCAAATAGAACTGCAGTTGGTAGAGAAGTGTTTGGAGGTTGTGTGATAATTATTTTGACTCAGTTTTATAAGTATTAGAGATCTTTTCAACCACAGGGGATTTCTTCCTTTAAGCTAGTAAATTGAAAAATATTCTTGTTATATTGTGGAGACATGAGCTTCATTGGTGTGAAAAGTCCTGTGTATCTGATTAATAAATAGATAGCAAATTTATAACTGTTGAGAGACTTCAATACTGATCACTTTAAAGCATTAATGGCACTTTACAAAATTTATAGGCCTTCCTGTCCCATTTATCCTTCTCTTTCAGTGCGGGGAGGCTCATTCTAAAGGAATAAATTTACATTCCACTGTTTTATATATTGGCCTTGAAAAACAGTTGTTGCTGCACATTCTACAGACCAATTTCGCATGCAGATAAACTCTTGGGCAGTGAAAACCAGGACTCTAGTGCAGTGCTGAAGGGTTTTGGTCTTGCAAAGACCAGTTTTTGTAGTTTCTCCTCTTAGGCCTGATACTCTCTGCCAAGCTGGATGCGAGGGGGAGAGACAGAAGGGGAGCTGATCCCACCATGCAGGTGTGCGGCGGGACAAGGGAAGCCCCCGGACACCAGCGGGGGGCTTTGTGTTTGCTTCAGTGAGCCCGAGGTGTGAGCGCGGCGCGTTCGCCGCGGCCGGCCCGGCACCGGCCGGCCCTGCCCGAGAAGCGCCCGGTTCTCCTCGCCGTTCCTCAGCCCACTGCCAAACCGCAGCAGCTGTGCAGGCGACAGCAGGAAGGAGAAACTAAACTTCCCCTTTCTGGGAATTGGTCTCCGCTTAGTTCCAGAGCCGAGAACGTGTTGTAGCCCATGTACTTCTGCGCAAACTTGGGGCAGCTCTGCTCACGCTTGTCTTCCGTGGGAATTCACGGAACTGCCGGAGCGTGCACAGGAGCAGCTGAGCCGGAGCCACGCCCCGGGGCCGGCACGGTGGGCTTTGTGCGGGGGTCTGTGGGCTGCTGCCCGGGCCGAGGGGAAGGTCCCGGGCCGCGTCCTGCGGGCCCGCAGCCGCCCGGCCCCGCCCGGCACCGGCCCCGCGCGTGCGCCCGCCCCCTCGCGGCACCCGTAGGAGCGCCCGGCGGCCCCGCCCGCCGCTCTCGGGATTTAATCACAGGGGCCGTCCGGCCGCGCGATCTCCGGCGCCGGTGCAGCACCGCCGACATGGCGTCCACCAGCCGGTACGGGCGCGGTCTGGGCGCGGGGGGCCCGAGGGAGGAGAGGGAGCTGCTCCGACATCGCTCCCTTTCGGGGCACACACAGAGGATGGGTGCGGCGCCCCCGCCACCGCCTGGGGACTGACCGGCGGCCATCGCCGCTCTTGCCCGGCCCCGGGGCTGCCGTTTCAGCGCGGCTCTCGCAGTGCACGGTGCACCGGCCCCTCTGCGGTGTTCTGTCTGTCGGGGCCGTGCCTCAGGGCGGCGGGCGGTCGGGCCTCAGGGCGCCCGCGCCTGTTGGTGTGGGCCGGGCCGGGCGGTCCCCGGCTGAGCGGCCTCTGAGGGCCGAGCTCGCCACCTTCGCATCTTTGTGTCGCTGCTGGTGGGCAGCGCTCGGAGGAGATGCCGAGGTTTTTGGGGGATTTATGACCTGAGCGCCGGGCTCCTTGTCAGCCGCAGCTCGGTGCGGACGGCGACTCGGGCCGGTGTGTCCCCCGAGCGCGGCTGTGGCTTGGCCGGGCCGTGCCGTGCGGGCCTGAGGTGGTGCCGGGCTCGTCTCGCCGCGTCCCTCGGCCGGCACCGACTGCTGCGGCCCCGTGCCCACTGCTCGGCGAGCCGTGAGCCGAGCGGCTCCCTGGCCTGACTCCACCTTATCGGGGCCTGGAAGCTACTTTTAGGCTCGCACCCTAAATCCGTACCGCCACTAGTCGGTGACCGGAGGGGTTTCGGGTTCTGAATTCTTGCCTCCTGGAGACGTGCCGAGTTTTTCTTTCTAGTCAGAAAGACCCACGGAGCAGACTGGAATGACTCTGTAACTCCTGCTAAACCTGTCCTGGGATCTAGGAAGTGCTTCCGAGTAATCTTGCTGCGTCTCGGGAGTTATTTGCTGAGATGGGCCTTTACACACGTGACATGCATTTTCCTTGCGTGTAGGTGGCTTAGTAAATTGAACCCATTGCAGGGGATACAATATATATGTGTAGGTAGATAAACCGAGTTAAATTAGGATGGGAAGACTAATTTCTGCAATGTTTTACGAAGGTAAAGTGTGAAACAAAACATGGTTGGTATTCTTTGGGGTGTCTGGATTTCTTTTTTCCTTTTGCTTGGTGTGTCACTGCCTTTTATGTAATGCCAAATGTCAGATGATTGTGAATGCTTTGTCAACAGTGTTGTCATATGAAACTTGTGGCTGGGAATAGAAGGAAAGTAGTTTAAAGAGCTTTCATGTACTGTTTTGAACATAATTTACATCTGAAGATCTTGTGTTGACAAGTGCTTTCTGGAGGTTTTAATATTAATAGTTACGTTGATTTTCAGTTTTGGTTTCAGGTTGCAGACATTTTTGTGAACAGTCAGTGGATTAAAATGTTTGGGTTTTTTGTATTCTAGACTCATCAGAAATATCTAAAAAATGAAAATTAAGATGGGAAGTATAGGTTAGGCTGAATTAATGGCAAAAATAGCAGTGGCAAATGGGTAACTCAGAGTAATTCTATTGGGAAATTTTTTACAATTGAATGGATTAAAAATTGTTTTTTGGTTTAATGAGATGGAAGTTAATAGTCATGATAAATTGTTTGAGATCAAACTTCTGTACTCTTGTGCTTTTAACTTTGAGCAAAATGGCTTTGTGAAATACATGGATCCCAATTGTAAACACTTTTTATTACAATTTTTAAATAATCGGTTTTAGTAGAACTATGTAACAGTTGTTAATATGAAGCATTTACTTTTAAAACGTTTGGTTAGAAGCAATTGGCTGTTACTTTAGTCAGTAACTAAAAGCTATTGCATTAAGTAATGCTAATACTTTATGGGAAGCTGTAATTGTTAAAGATCCATGGGTGTGAAAGAGATCCCTGTTTTCGGAACTTCTTGTCATATAATTGCCTTAGGACCTGATTATTTTTTAAGATTTTGCTATTAATTGCTTAATTTAAAATGGAATTTATTGTTCAAATACTTTAAAATAAACCAGTGTTTGAATTGGGAGTTTTGCAAGCATACATGTTGTATGTGCACTACTTCCCGAGTTAAGAACCTGGTAAATAATATTGTTCTTAGTAGATGGAGTGAAAATGCTCATTTGGAATGAGGAAATTGCCACTAACTTGGGAAACGAAACTGCATTTAGCAGTAGTTTGAGTTATACTGCATTTAGTCAAGTCTGTTACATAGATTTTTAATGTTTTGATTTGAAGTGATTTTGGTACAAGATACATTACAAGAAAATTGGAATTTAAGTTGATCTAAAGTCTTGATTGCCAATTGTAGTGTTACAGCATTCAAATAAAAAGTGCAGCTCAGGTAATCAAGTTAATATTCTGTAATTTAAATCCTTAAATGCTGTATTACTGAAGTTTTCTTATCATCAAGGAACTCTTTTGCTTTTGATATGCAGTCTGCTTGTTTAATAGTAATGAATACTTGTCATTTGTTTCTTAGTTTGGATGTACTTCCGAGGGTGACTTGCCCAAATCATCCAGATTCCATTTTAGTGGAGGACTACAGAGCTGGTGATATGATTTGTTCTGAGTGTGGGCTAGTAGTAGGTAAGTAATTATTAGTATTTTTATAAATTGCCATGTAACCTAAATGGTGTGTGTAGGTTTCTGCCCTCTTGATGTCCAAGTGTGAGTGGTAGGTTTGATGGGGTGTTTGTTTGTTTTTGCTTTTCTGTGTGGGGCTTAGGTTCTTTTGTGATTGTCTGTTTGCTAAAAGCTTACTGCTCTGAATAGCCTGTCTTCTGGTAATTATTGCACTATAAAAATAATCAAACTCTCTTTAAAGACTGAAAATTTAAAATGTGCTATAATATGAGTTAGAGTATTGTGCTGTCTAGTCCTATATTCTGTCTTCATTCATGACTTCTTTCATTCAGGAAAGTATAAGAGATGTTACAGAAGCTCTCTGTGAAATAACTTGCTTATAACGAAAAAAATCAACATAACATAAAACCAAACCCCAAACAACCTCAGTTTCCCAGTAGCTAAAGGCTGTCTTCTGCCCCGAAAGATTTATCTTTATATGGTTGCCAGCATGTGTGTATGTTAATCACTTCTCCTGAGGCTTTTAAGGCTATCCTAAGTTTTCCCACTGGAATTTTGTGGTGCTCTTTTACTTGGGTTGTGTAGCAGCCGCTTCCATAGACTAAACTGTATTTTTAAGTATAATGGACATTTAAAATGAAAGGCCTGTTAAGCATTGTCTTTTGTTTGAATGCAAAAGAGGAAGTTGCTATAGAGCCTGCTGCATATACATTTTTATGTATCTTTTCTAGGATGAGCATCTTACATATACCTTATGCATCTTACATATACCTATATGTATTTATTCTTTTATCATGGGAAACTTTCCAAGCTTATATTATGATCATCCTTTAAACTTCATTGATTTCTGTTAATTTGTTTTAGGCCATTGTGTGAAAAAAATCCTTCTTGAGGGTGCATGTTTGTGTGATTCATTCAGTGGTGTGGTGCTAAATATTTCAAATTGTTTATATCCCTCTTTCCTAGACTGTGCTGGTTTTGTTTTGCCTTGCTGAATTTAAAAAATTTTCATAAAAAGCTGAAAGTTAAGGAATTTGTGGTGAAAGTAGTACTAGTTTAGCCAAGCAACTAAAATATGTCTTTTTATGCAAAAGCAAACTTCCACATAAATTGTTAAAGTAAATGTTAAAACATTTAAACTTGAGTACCAGTTTACTTTAAAATTATGAAACTGTTTAAAACCTCTAAAGGAAGGCTTATAACTGCTTTTTTAAAAAGAAGGCCAGGTTTAAATTGCATTAATTCTGATAAAGGTCAATTAATTAGAATAAATTTGATGGTTAAAAATTCAAATATCCACAGTCGTATTTCCTACTGAAATATGATCATAAGCTTCTAAGTTACTGCTTAAAAATAGTTTGGTGCATGTTCAGCCCTTTGCATGACTGTCATGATATTGAGCAAAAGTTTAGGAAAGCCCATCTTGATCAGTTCATAACTTTTAAGATAGTTCTGATATTGGAAGAAGAGGAAAAGCTTTATCTTCATAAATGTAATTTTTTGGAACTTGGAGTTTGTCAGAAGTCTCAATTCATGTATCTTCTGTTACCTAGTCACAAGAAATTTTCCTGAAGAGTTTATCCTGTTTTTTTCTGAATTAATAGCATTGGTGAATTCTTTAGTTCAGAATGTTAGCAGTTTCAATAAGCAGGATCATTAGAATATTAGTATAAACTGTTTCTGAATTGAGTTTATAATAGTGTTTGCAATTGTCTTAGTGTAGATTACTGCCTACATTACTGGTAGGATAAAAAGTGTTTTTTAGGTAAGCATTCTGTGCATTTCTCACCAAAAGGTTTTAACAGCATTGTGCTGAATGTTCTCATTTTGTGTTGCATTCCTTCAGCTTTTTAGCAATTCCTTAGCTTGGTAATTTGGAAAACCAATTAAATAGGGTGATGTTAAGTAATTGAAGTGACCAAAGAGAAGTGTGAGCACTAAATATTTTCTCACCTTGTCTGATAAGAAATTTAGAGAAGGTGTAAACCAGATCCAATCCTTGATGCCTGTTTTCTGGAGGTGCTTGTGAAGTAGGGATGTTTTAAAGGAGTGAAGACAAAATTTAGCTTTCGTGTGTTCCAAATGCAACTTTCCTGTATTTGTGGCAGCTTCCATGAGACACGTTCCCCTTAAGAGAGTAGCGATTTCATTTCCTGTTTTTACATAGAGAAGTTTGGTTTCAGGGCTTGCATGCGTCACAGTCACATGTGAGCAGAGCCCACTGAAAATATAGTTTGGGATGGACTAGAAGCCACTGGGGTCTTTCAGTGAAGGGGATCATTTAGAACAGTTAACTCCCCTCACGCAAAAATCAATATACTGTGTAGCCAAAGAAATGCTATAGATTTATTTAAAAATGTTGATTGTTAGTGTCTGCAGAGCACTGCTGGTGTAAATCGTAAATGCTGAATTTGTGCTCTTGCTTTACTGCTATAAAGTACATACTGGTATGAGTTCACTTTTTTTTTTTTTTTTTTAAGTGTGTATGTGCAGTTTAGCTGTAGATTGAGCTAATAGTCTTTGACTTAACTAAGAGTATTTGCATTTGATGTTTTTCTTGCTTGCTATGATAAAGTACTGAAGTTGCATATTTATTGAAAGACTGTAAGGCTTTGTATATGTAAAACTGTTGTAGGATAAAATAGCTGGTGTATAGATAGTTTACAGGTTTGTAATCAATTTTCTGGGAATAGGAGATTAAATCAGTATTATTATAAATGATCTTGCATTTATCAGGTGTGCAGTTGAAACGGTAAAGCAGTAGAAAATTTTGGGGGAGCAGGAGGCCAGGACACAGAGGAGCTGATCTCTTTATCAGTTGGATTCCATATTTTAGGCAGAGCTGTATGTTGCAAGTACTAGTTTTTAAAGGGATTTTTGAGAAAGGTTTTTTATCAAAGTTGTTTTCTACTTACAGGTTTTATTCTTAATCTCAATAAGATTGAAATTTAAGTTAAATCTAGTATGCTGGGTTTTTTTGCACAGTATTTTCCATGTGTTCTAAATAAACTGGTGTTTTACTGTGCAGTATTAAAATTTAATCTTGTAATGTTATGACTGAAGCTGGTGTTGAGAATATTATTGTTTCAAAATACTGCTTCATTCTACTAAAACCTCTCATCTGCCTTTTCATTATTACTTTTTGTGGGTTAGTTTGTGTTCTGTATTTTCATGGTGATTATTTCCAAATTGTTAACTTTTCCTTCTGCTAATTGCTTTTTGCTTGAAAGGCACTTGGAGGCCTAAATTATAATAATCCTTGAAATTTTGATACTAGTCTGGATTTAGATGCATTTGAAACTTAACAACTCTGTCCAGGTTTATTTGTTGTGACAAGAATAGTGTTTTATTTTTCCTGCTTTTCTCCAGTCGTTGGAAGCTATGTGCTACAGTAAGGGCTCATGTGCTGGTGAGAGAGTTCATGGACAGAGTTCTTAGGGCTTAGTCCTGTGTTCATTTAAAACATTCACTGTATCTCATTCTCCAGACAGGGTTGGTGGGGGACAAGCATGTTGTTCAAGAACAGAAGGCTAGTAAATCCTCTTTCTTGACAGGCAAATATTTTGCTTACTACCTTAGAGGCAGTAAAAAAGACTGGGAATCAGCTCATATGCCAGAAGGGGCTGAAGAAAGCAAAGTGGAAGTGGAAGACAAAGCACTGAATTTTCTTGATGTTGTAAGATGGTGATGTGAATTTCAGAGAAGGATAAGAGCAAGTCTGGTGGCATGTACTGCTATGTAGTATCTCAGGTATAAGGAATACCTCAGGTTAGGAATACCTTTTGAAGACATTCCTTAAACTTCTATATAGATAGCTTCATTAAATGTTGTCTTAGTGTGCAGAAATTAAGCAGTGAGGAATTTATTTTCAGTGTGTAGTAAGTGATTAACTAATTAGCTCTACTTCACTAGGCAGGTGTGGCTGAGAGGAACAGTGCTCCTGTGTGGATGTGTTTTGGGGAGCCTTCTTTGATTTAAAAAGCAGAAGTCCGTCTCCAGCTGATGAGGATCTTTGGACACATATCAACTTGTTAAAACATTGAATCAAATTTTGACCAATATTCAGACATTTCTGCCATATTCTGTGTATACCTGGGTGTTCAGTTGAAGATTTTTAGGGAAAAATATTGTTGTCAGTATAAAGTCTGTTAACAAAAATCTGTCTGAGTATTTGTTTGCCTGATACTTCTGACAAGTTTGAGATAAAAATAGTGCATTGTAAATTCAAATGTGGTCTATGAAGAATAGGTGAGATTTGACTATAGTACAGGTTGGTTTTTTTTCTTGGCAATATAATAAACAAGTAGGAAGGGGTTTCACAATTGCCTCTCAACTGGCTGGTTTGTTACTCAGGATGTGTTATTAGGAATAAGGTTGCTTGCTTCTGTATAGCTGCTTGTTTTTTCTGAAAACCAAAGAAATCTTTTTTTTTTTCCCAGCTGTTTGTAGTATCCAGTAAGTGGGGGGGGAGGGGTGGTGCTTAAGTACTTCTGACTTGCATCCAGCAGAGGGCAGTTACATTAATAGGGGAAAATTTTTATTATTATTTATTATTATTATTATTTAATATTATTCCTTTCTGCAAGTATTGTCAATCTTTAAAATATTAATTCTTTATTCAAAGTATTGCTTAAAAAGTAGGCAAAAATCTTTAGATATGGATGTATGTTAGCAGCCTTTACATGCTTGGTGTTCAGACTACTAAAAAGTGTCTGACAAAAGTTGGTCCTTGGAAAAAGACTCTGCATTCAGAGGAAAACTAATTATAAAGGATACTGATGCTTAAAGACGTTCTGAATAGTTGGCTCTTGCATGACCATTCAGAGATACTTTCTTCATAATTTTCCTGTTTAAAGTAACCTGCTTGCCTTTCTCAGCCAGCATTTCAAATAGTCTGTTTTAATTCTAACCTTTTTCAGCTTTAAAGGCAAAGGGTGATGCTTCTAGGTGTTCAGCAGTAATGCCTGTAAGAGTGGAAACTGATAAAAGTTAGCATCCTTTGT